TTAATGGTGCAGAAATAACCATGTGACCCCGAGACCAGCCTTCACGAGAGGGTGTACATGGAACTGCCGATGTGAACTTTATGTGCTACCATTTAGCTGCAGCCTTCAATGCAGATCCAAATTTCCCTAAGGGCTCAGACTTAGTAAACACATAGAATTTAAAAATAATGGGTTCTCCTTTTAACCCCTGTTAACAAGTGCCTAAAATTGGAAGTAACTTGCTCAGATTAATCAAAGCAATAGAATTTGACTTAAATCTTTTTACATCAGTATGTTACTCAGTTTTTTAACCAAAATGTAAATTTCATATTAAATTCATTATTTGCCATTGTGACTGTCCCTTATGGCCCACCCTGGCTTCCTGGTAAATTTGTAAATAACAGGGATATGTTTGCTATGGCCTTCCTTTGCTGAGAAGTCTTCTAAGAAATTGTGTGTTTGAGCCATATTCATCAACTGTGTCTTTAAGGACTTGTAACAAGGGAGAGGGAAACTGGCACGGATAATATCCTTCTATTATTAAGCTCCAGCAAAGTACAAACAGGATGCAACTGCAGTGCCACTAGAAGTCTGTCTTGACTCATGTTGTTTCTGTGCAAGGGTATCATGCACAAAGGCAGTCACTTGCATGACTGCGGAATGGCATAAAACATTGTATAAGACTTAATTGCAGAACTGGGTTCTTAAGCTAGAGGCAGCTTTTAATAACACAAACATATTTATTAATTACCACTAAAATTACCATTATGGGTCAATTCTTAGAATAGAAATTGGTGCCTTGTTAGTCAGGGAGAATTTACCACAAGCTCTATCAGTAAGCATTCAAAATTACATGTGTTAGTGTAATGTTGGAACCTGGCCTTATTCTCTTCTGACAATCGAAGGGCCTTTTTCTTTTTCCTTTTGTAAACTGAAGTATACTGATACAGCTGACATTAAGTTATCAAGGCTGAATTGCTATGTGTATTTCTCGCTTATGAGAATTTCCAATTAGATTTTAGAAAATTAACATTAAATTTAAATTTTATTGATAAGGTTAAATGGTTAAGTCACTTATTTTTACTTCCTCACTGGCAAGGCATTTTGATCCATTCCAAAGTCAAAGACTGGACTGAAGCTAAATTTGTACTTCTCATAATATATACTCTGCTTCTGGCTTACCTTGTTGGTACATCAGTATATTAATTGTAAAAATTATTGTATAGTATTTAACCGCTGAATTTCTTGTGTTTATGTGAACCCCCTTGGTGAAGGTCCCCTTTTTCATGGATGTGTAGTTATATGATCTTTTAAAATGTACAGATATTTTGCTATAAGATTGGTGCAGTTTTTTATGGTTTTTACAATTCTCTTTTAATTCCTACCTAAGCCTCTGAGTAATCCTGTAAATATTGTTTAAAAATGTTCATCAGCCTATGCTACACAATCTGAATGTTACTTTAACTTATAGTTTTTTTAAAATATATATATTTAACTACAAGGACAATTTAAGAGTCAGTTACCACATTTCACAGTAGTATGCCTATTTACAGATCCCTTTTTAATGGCCACCAGATGGCACATTCATAAATGTATAGTTTTAAAAGAACATGCCAGGATTCTTGTCTTTTTGTTGAGTCATTCATTTTGATGAATATATTAATTTGATCATAAGAATATTGGACATTTTATCAAAGAAATCAGCTATTTTCCAAAGGTGTGCATTTGCTTAAAAAATTGCTCATTTCCCAATGCACAAACGGACAGTAATGTTGGCATATTCTTTTGTTTGTCTATTAATGATCCTGCTTCTTAGCAATATTAGAAATGTTTTATAAAAGCAATTCATGTTACTTTTCTGGTCTTTTCATGCCATTTGAGCAAATAAACTATTTACACTACTATTCTGTCATATGCTGTAATCCTTGAATTGTGTAATTTATGGTTTTTTTTTAATATGGATTTTTATCATTAAAAACAGCTTGTTATTGCAGTTTAGAACCCAAATGGAATATATTTTCGAAAAACTGCTCGCCCATATGTCTCCCCTGTCCCAGTTTCCCACATGCTGTGGTCAAAAGGCTTACTGGTAAGATGTTTAAAACATCTTAACTAACCATTTTACATATTTGGAATATTTTCAGACCTTACCTACAGCAGTAAAGTTCAATGGAAGGTTTGATTAGGTTTAGAGCCTTTTGTTATTTGTGGTCTGTTGTTTTGTTGGGGAGCTAGCCCTGGCCCTTGCATATGCTTGGCAAGTGCCCTACTACCAACTCAGAATTCAGTATGCTTTCACCCAGTGTTCAGGCACAGACACACACAAGTCAAATGCACTGCCCTGTGACCCTCGAGTCACTGATTGTGCTTTGGTGTTCAACATACATTTTGTAAAATTGGGCAATTTCTGCAGAATTACCAAAATTTACAATAGCAGATAAATACTTTAGACTACTAGTCTATTTGGTATATGATAAAATTCTGTTCACTCTGTTTTTGGTCATGTGCACCCCCAACGCCCCAAAACAGGTTTTTCTCTGTGTAGCCCTGTCCTGGGTTTTCCTTTACAGACCAAGCTGGCCTCAACTCAGAAACCTGCCTGCTTCTGCCTCGAGTGCTGGGATTAAAGGTGTGCACCACCACACCTGACTTTCACTCTAGTTTTTATTCGATATGCAAATATAATTTATCAACACAAGATTCATTTTCCACCTCTTTAAAGTTGTTGTCATCCATTTTCATGAAAAGATTTGAAGAACAAGCATAAGGTTGTGTTGGTGGATTTTTGGGGAGAGCAAGGTTTACCTTTTTAAGTAAAGTGAGTACTGCACTGAGAAACAGGGTTGTGGTCACTTCAACCCACAGCAAAGAACTGCTGTGGGCAGAGACTTAAAAGAAAAACGGCGACACAAATCCAACTTATTTAATAAAATATGCCATTTTTCTATTTACAAAAGGTCCACTGTTAAAGCTACGAGGTTCTTTACATCAAGAAAATATATAAACAGAAGTAAAAATCTGGTGATTACATAAAAAAGAGAAACCTTTCCCCAATTACTCACCTTTTTGAATAAGTCCTCTGTTCAGTTGTAGAGGAAGGCAAGAAGCCTAACACCTACCCCAAATGTTAATAGTCAGGACCAAAAAACAAACAAAAAGGTATCAGTAACAAATAGATAATCTAGTAACAATCACAGTATAGTATCAAATGGCTTAGCTTGAATGTGATCTGCTCCACAGACGAAAGAGCAGGGCTGTGGGCTAGCCTGTTTCTCTGAATTGTAAACATTAATTGTACTAGGGTAATCACTGTCAAACATCAATTACACAAAATGGCCTTGAATTATAATCCACTCAATCTCAATTCCAGCTGTGAGTACAGCAGGTTTACGGATAGCATTTATTAGACCAGGAAAACAAACTACAATGGAGGACAGCTAAGCAAAGAATAGGACTTCTTTCATTTTCACTCTGAAGTGAGCTCCTATAAATGGAGTGCTATCATGTTACCATGACTCAACCTATTTTTTAAAACCTAAAATGTTTGCAACTTATAAGTCTGAATTTTATGTTCTCATTAAGCTTTGGACACTTCCTAAGTTATAGTCACTAGGCTTTTTTTTTTTTTAGATTTTGAATGAGGCATCAGTTCTGAGTTGTATGGTTTAATTGGAATGATGCCGGTTTAAGCCCATTGCCAGGTACAGTCCTAATTAACAGATTACACACACACACACACACACACACACACACACACACACACACACACACACACAGTAGTGAAAGAGTTAAATCCCAGGTGAGAAATTCATGTTGACTATCAATGACATCAGAATAAATGGTGGATTAAATAGAAAATAATCATTGTCATTCTGGCAAATGCCATTATCCTATCTTGTAGTTCCATGAAAAAAATCATAGCATCATTTGTCTTTCCATTTTTGTAAATAAATCAAGTGTAGTTTAACCTAGAAGAGGAAGGAGGGTTCAATTAAAAATCTGGTACTGAGAGATTTCTCAAAGGAAAATATATTTAAGGAATTAACTCTAGTTTGTTTTCACTTTTGTTAGATTGCTTTTAAAACTTAAAAATTTTTATTTAAGTATACATCATTTTATGTTAAAATTCTATAATCTTCAAGCCATTCTTCATAACTCTTCCCTAAGTATTATCTGATTAGAATGCTTAAATAAAATGTAAATCCAATTTTCCTCTTCTGGATCCAAAACTCTAATGAACACTTAGTCAACTTTTAGCACTGGAGTACAACCAGGAGCATTTAGCAAATGCTTAGTAAAGTATATAAATGAATGAAAGCAGCACACTACAATCTGGAACTACATATAGTTCACAGAAAAACACACATAGGCTTTTTAGTTGCTATTAGCACTCTAAATGGATTGCCTTACTCTAGGAATATCCGTTTTTTGTTTCACAGCTAGTCAACACCAGGCCCCACTTATGAAAAATCCAAAAGATGAAATAATTGTGACTAGTCATTTATCAAACTTACCAGAAGACACAGAAAGTTTTACATGTTGAAATAAACAGTAACATTTTAAAAATGAAAATTGATAGTCCTGTCACAGTATTTAAATTCATTTGGGAGGATTGCAAATTATCCTCATGCTAAATTGGTCACACTGACTACTCTTACAAATTTTCCCCAACATAAAAGGGATGGAATAGGAGAAAATAAGAATATCAAATATTCAAGGCCAAAATTTTGCCCGTTATTAAATACATTAGCAAGCTTAATAATAGTGATGCTGAGAAAAAATTAAGTTTCAACATCAGAGCCCCTAGTCTTAACTGAAATAAACAAATTCTTTCCCATTTGAATAAATCAGATTCAAATCTAGAAGAACAAATATTCAAAGTTAAGTCAGTTTTGCCAAATCTTTTCAAGATTTAGAAATATCTAGTGGATTTAAAATATTCAAAGATTTAGTACCTTCACACTACATTTTTCTAACAACTAAAGTTCGTTGAATGGGATAATCAAGAGAAGACAATGGAATAGACTTGATTTACATGTTTTATAGCAAGGATATTACAGTTCCAGTTTCCTAAAGTAAAAATTCAATACACTGAGATAAAACTTCTATTTAAATCAATAGGGTTGTTATGATATTGATCTGTTCGCAGTAACACAAGAACTGCCTTTAAAAATCTGTTTAATCAAGATAATCACTTATATTTTTTGCTATGTCTGGTTTGCATAGGTTAACTGCAGGGATAATTTATAATGTTTTATAGGTATCTGAAAATATGAAGAAATTATAAGAAATACAGAAATCTATTTTGAGGACATGCTAAAACAAAACACATCAATAGCTTTTTATTCAAATATATCAAAAATTTAAAGTTGTACTTTAAAAGTTATTCATGGAATTAAAACATGTTTTACAGATTCTAATTTTTCTTATCAAACATTACTGGTTTACCTCCCAATATCATATCCATGATTTAAAGACTCTCTCTGACCTCCATGTCAAGTGTTCAGACTCATTAGCAATCTTGACTACTGTTAAATTGGGACCTCTGACAATCAAATTCAAGGAAGTTCTGTTGCCAAAGTTGTTAGATATTTTGAGTGACATATAATGGGGAACTAATCTCAAGCAAGCACTTTGATTATTTCACATTTCCTCAAAGATAATGATCTTTTTCACAAAGTCATGTCTTATTTCATAACAGAAAATGACATGGCAATGAAGTTTAGAAACAAAGTATCTCCCTTTTCTGAGTTTTTAAAGTGACCACTAGATTTAATTAAAACACTGGACAGGATGGGAAAACAGTTGTACTGATCTGTCCCAACTCATTTAAAGGGCAATGAAACAATTCATGTTCTATCTAAATCTCAGCTTGAAAGAGACAATCTCAGCAAGTCCAAATTAAAAGAACCAAGATAATACCTAATACTGAAGACTAAGTGCTGAATACTTAAAAAAAACAAAGAAACAAAAACATACACACATACAAAACCAAAGCCCTCCTGCACTGAAGGAAAATAGTATAAATCACATTACTAACCTTCAAAAGTTAGCATGTAAAGAGTATTCTATCTTAAGCCATTGCCTTTCTAAAATATTCCATAGGAAATTTATAAGTGAAAACACTAAGGACCTCAAATGCACAGATTTATATTCATAAATATTATAAAAGGAAATTAATGTAGCTACCATTGGTAGGATGAAACAAAATTTTAGGGATTTATTATCTTGTAAATGATCATACAATTTCCTTAGAGCTGAGTAGTTTATGTAGAAATAAACACTAGTGCACACTACAAGAGAAGGTTTAATAATAGATAAAAATGTACAAAAATATTGAAATCAGAAATGCTTTAGACTGTGTACCATGGAGTCAATACTTCTCAGTGAGTAAGGAAGGCAATTTACAACCTCCTCAATGGAATTAAAAAAAAAAGTGAAAGAGAAAGATTGGATTAAAAATTCAAAGAAAATGTTTAAGTCAACATTGATTTTTCTTCCCCCTACTACAAGGATATTTCAACTATCACTCAAAAGTTTGGTGGCACATTCTTTAGTAGGTCCTTAAGGCAATATATTTAATTTACAATTTGATTTGATGTTAGCTATTTTAAAACATCACCTCAAAATAGATGCTCAAAATAATGCCCTCATAGCCTTTTTAAAATGTATTCAGATGTTTCATAAAAATAATGGTGGCTTTATTACAGCAGTGTTCATGAGCACTGCCAGTTAAAGGTCTACCAAGTTTCCATCAAAAACACCTTTTCTTAAGAGCTCACCATAAAAGATCACGTTGGCTTTCAGCAGTTCAGTAGTGCACAAAAAAGCATTCTTATCATGGGTTGCTGGTGCTTTTTTTTGTACTACATTATCAAAAAAAATGTTCACTGTATCTTCAAAATCCAACTTCTATAAAGTAAATCAAATCCCCTCATGACTTAGAACAAAGTAGAGACGTCTGCAGCTATCAGTAAATTGCCACTTTTAATCCATCCTGCAGTGCCCTAGGAAAGGGTCACAGAAAGACAGTTATGACCGTAGGAAAATATGATTCTTGATACAGAATCAAGTTATTTTCAATTTCCTTTGCTTTTATAAAGTCCACAATAACAATACATAAATGCACTTTTTTTTTTCCTGTGACACAATTAAAACCCAGTGTTATTATGTAAATTGAACGTAAAATAATCCCTGGTCTGAATTAGACTTTAAATCATACTATAAACATATATTTGGTATAATTTATTGATCATCATCCAGTTGCTCCAAAAGGGTTCTTCTGCGCTTTTCTAATTCCCCTTCACTCAGTTCACTGCCAGAAGTATCCCAGTTACCCTGCAAAGACATTCAGCATAATTAGTCAATCCTGAAAATGTTAAGAAAATATTAACTAAAGAGTCCAAAGTAGATACGAGTTTCATTCACAGAAACACATTTCACAGGATTTTAAAACTGATACTTTGCTCCAAAGCCCAACAATGGGTTATTAAGCATTCCTAGGATGTCATTAAGAGAAAAATATGAAGACTGGGATTATACATGGCACTACTTCAGTTTATATTAAAATATGTAATCAAGGAAAAATTGTACATATATTCCTTCCTTATACACAATTAAATATGAAATATCCCTACTTAATGGAAGCCAGGCACTCATTTCCTAGTCAGTATGTTCTTTGCTAATTATATAGAGATTTTGGGTAATCCTGGAAAATAATTTAAGGTTTTGATTTTAATGTTCAAAATCTTATGCTCAAATAAACAGACAAGATTTAAACTAAATAAAATTAATACTGCATCATCTTTAAGATACAACCTTTGAAAAGTGGAGTGCACCTTTAAGATGTTTTGTTTAAACCACTGATACTGAAGAAATATAGGGGATGATTCACTCTTCATGGAAGTCATGAATCAGATTTATCCATAAAGATTAAAAAAATGGGGTACATCTGGGAAGAGTTGCTGAAAGCTGAATATGATCAAATTACATTGTAGAAAATTATTGAACAATAAAAAAGCAAGAAAACAACAATAATTAATAAACAACAACTACACATAACTCTATACTAATAGATCAGAATATTCTGATGATTCACAGGCAAAGCCACTTTTATTTATCCAAGGAACTGGTGAAACTAAGGCTGGTGCTCCTGTCTGCCCTGCCATCACTGTGTATGTGAGGAATTAACATGAATACAACTTGTTATTAAAAACACACTTTCTGTTCCTCTGTGTCTGCCATTCTCCACCAATCTTGATTAGCTGCTGGAATGCTACTTCTTGAGACTACAGTTATAAACCATGGTGATAACTGGACATTTAGAGAAACCCTGACTTGAGCCTTCTAAATTTTATAGGGAGAGGGCAAGGCATAGTTGCACACATCTTCAATCCCAGCACTCAGCAGGGAGAGAGGCAGGCAGATCTCTGAACTCAGAAGCCAGGGCTACACAAAGAAACCCTGTTTCAAAAAAACAAGCAAAAACAAAACCCTCATAATTTAAAAATCAAAGAGAAAGCGCCAAAAGTACTTTTTAGTGATAGTGCACCATTCAGAATGTATCTTTCCAATTTAAAGTGACAAATATTTTGTGCTGTTAACTATTTTTGTTTAAGGAATATAAATCGAAGAGACTCAAACAGATGGTCACTCATGAGAAGCAGTGAAGAGAATTTCATCTTTTCTTTAAGGTTAGCAGACCCAGGACAAAAAGGGTATCTTTTAACCCCATCTGGTTTTAAATGGGGCCTCCATTTTTATTTTTGTAAATTCAGAAAAAACACAATTCTAAGTACTTACAGAATCCTTTCCAGTCTTTTTCTTAGGTGATTTGTGTTTTGATTCTGATCTCTGTCTACTTCTGTCTTTTTCACTTTCCCGATCTTTATCTTTCTTATCCTTCTCTCGTTCAGTATCTGATTCTGGAGAGTCCTATGTAAATAAAAACTAACATGTCAGAATTTTGATAATAACATTCTGTTAAAAAAAAATAAAATTATTTATGCAGGTAATATTTAAGAAAATTACATTTACTAGGTTAGGTGTAGAGAGGTAAAATGTAATTTGTTTTGTTTTTAAGAATTTTTGAGCCGGGCGGTGGTGGCGCACACCTTTAATCCCAGCACTCGGGAGGGAGAGCCAGGCGGATCTCTGTGAGTTCGAGGCCAGCCTGGGCTAACAAGTGAGTTCGAGTTCCAGGAAAAGGCGCAAAGCTACACAGAGAAACCCTATCTTGAAAAAACAAAACAAACAAACAAACAAACAAACAAAAAAAAAAAAAAAAAAAGAATTTTGAGACAGGGTTTCTCTGTATAGCTCTGGCTGTCCTGGAACACCCTCCCTGGAAACCAGTCTGGCCTCAAACTCGGAAAGATTGGCCTCAAACTCGGAAAGATCTGCCTCCTGAGTGCTGGGATTAAAGGTGTGTGTCATCACAGCCCACTTTGAACCCAGGATTTCATAGATTTCTCCAATGTTCATTGGAGGCAGGAGCAGTGTTTCCCATAGGAAGGATATATTGGGATAGGATAAACCACCATTAAAAGCCTCACCACCAGATTACACCAGAGTCCCGTCCCCCCCGCCAATGAATACATCCTTACTCACATTTTTCAAACAAATTAACTATGGTTTATTTAGATACGTATAAAGATGCTGCTGACTAAGCTGCTCACTTAGTATGTTCAAGGTTGACAGGGGCATAATTCTTCCTCAAAATTATTACTGAGAAACAAGTTATTTAAAATGTTAGTGCTTAAGTAAATAGTTCAGAGTGAGACTGAAGCGAATATTAGTGAGAAGAATGAAAAACAAACACAACCAATCTAAATCAATACAATTGCGGTAAGATTCAGGCACTAACATTTTTGAAAAACTTGTGTAAACCTAATATGTATCTACAACAGCAGAAGAGAAGCTGTTCGAACATTTGTGCACTCCCATGCACACACACACTCTCTCTCTCTCTCTCTCTCTCTCTCCTCCCTTTTTAAAACTGAAAGATCAGGGTAGGAATCCTAACACTGGTTTTGTTTTTTGTTCGAAGCTTGTGATTTTAATGGAAGATTAAGGAAAAAGACCTACACATATACAGAATTAGATTATGAGATGGCCCTATGAACCCTTTCTAGATCAAAACCTTGGAATTGTTAAAATATAGAAATTTTCTTACAGATTTATGTCTCCTCTTTTTGCTTTTCTTCTTATGCTTTTTTGATTTCTTATAACTTCTCTCTGTAAAACACAGAAAGGAAAAAAAATACGTCAGAATATGAGGAAATCAAAGTATCACGGTTTAGTTAAAAAAAAAAAAAATAGAAATACTCACCAGATTCAGCACTAGAAGAATGTTCTGAAGCAGAATGGGACTCTGATCGCTGTCTTTTTTTCTTTGAATGGCTATCATCATCATCTGAATCTGATCCCTAAACAATAGACGTAAATTTGTTCATAATAATACTTACAAATGTTTTAGTATAGTATGCCAGCCAATTTATTTCCTTACCGATCGAGAGCGGGATCGTTTCCTATGGTGTTTTTTAGATTTCTTAGAATGTTTCTTGTTCTTTGAATGATGATGTTGACATTCATGCTAGAGTGGCAAGAAAAAACTTTAGAAAACTGTACTTGTTTTACACAGCCAATCACAAGGAAATGTGACAAGTTCAGCACATGAGATCTTCAAAAGAAAATACCTTGTTTATCCTAAAGTACCCAATGATTATACAAGAAATCATTTATTTTTTTCTATTCTTATTAGCTCTTCTACACCTACTCATTTAGGTATTTAAACATTTTATAAAATGATGTACTTTTTGTCAAATTGACAAAGGTTGGTAGGGAAAAGTATTACATTCTAGAAAGGTATAGCTTCTTTCCATAATGATGAGATATAATACATTCAGGCACTTTGCTGGCTAATCTGGCTAGTTTTGGTTAGTAAGCTAACCCAAGCACCAAGATAAAGTAAAACCTCACAGCCATCCTTAAACTGAGATTTATAAAACCTATTCCTCTTTCTTTTATCCAGAGAATGATTTCCTGCTTATTCAGACAGGGAATGCTTACAGAACTACAGGTTGTGTTCAATACACTGAACTGATTATTGTGGGCATGTGGACGGTTATGAAATGGCTCCTATGTGAAGGTGCTTGCTACCAAGACCCAAGTTCTAGCCCTGGTACCTAATGTTAACAGGAGAGAACAAACTCCTCGATGTGTTCTTCTGACTTCCACATGCACACTGTGACTTCCACATGTGCATGCAGTCATAAAATACTTCTGAGGCTACTGAGAAAGGAGAGGTGCTACAGCAAAAGCTCCTTATTCTTACTGCTTCTACCCATGGCTCAGAAAACCACATATCTTTGATTGAATAACAGAGATGGAAAATCTGACTAAGACGGAACCCATCTCTATCTCACTGAATGCTGCCTCAAGGCCTAATTTCTCTAGTCTCGAAATCTGGAAGCATCTTTAGCTTCATTTACCACCATACTAAATGAGCTCCAGCTCAAAAATCACCGATCACAGCTGGGGATTCTTTGTGTGTCATTGTGTGTGGTGTATGCATGAGAGTGTGAGAGTCTCTGTTCCCATTCAGAGGTCAGATAAGGACACAGGTATCTTCTAATACCCTCAACCTTTTTCCTGAGACAGGTCTCTCACTGTTAAGCTGTCTGGCTGTTAAGCTTTACTTTTGGCCATCCCCCATGCTAGGTTTATAAGCACACACAGCCATGCTTAGCTTTTCATGTGGGTGCTGGAGATTTAAACTGTTTTTTAATGCTTCCACAGCAAGAACTCTTATCCACTGGACCATTTCCTTTAGCACCTAGAGATTCTTGAATTAAGAAAAGATAGGTAATACACTCTTCTAGTGTACACCATCTCAAAATTCCAAATATATTCAAATGCTTCAGAATCTGTGTATGATTAAAATCATATGATTTTAATTGATACAAGATTTCTGTAGATGGAGTCTGACGTTCTACATTTCTCTGAGGCTCCTCAATAATACAAATGCTACTGGTCTAAGATACAGATTAGTATAAACAACTAAAGGCCAACAGAGACCAGTCATAGAGGCAGTTGGGAATCAATATGGAAGCCCACATGAGTTCAGGGTAACAGGAGAAAATAATTTGTTAACAATGACAAAGCCAAAGAAATAGATAATAATTCTATTACTCATGTACTTAATTATCACACCAACACTACAATAAACACATGCTATCTTTTGGCTTGTTATAAATCATTAGCTGTCTAGAACTGACTCCGCTGAACTTTTAAAAATGTGTACATTTCAAAGTGGTATACCTATGTGTGTGCTCTTACGTAGTGTGCAGTGTGTGCAAACACACGTGCAACTATACGTATGCTTGTAGAATCCACAAGTTTACACTGATTGCTCTCTACCTTATATTGAGGCAGGGTCCAGTTCACTGCAACCCAGAAACAGGAGATTCTATTATTATAGCTAGCCATACCACTAGGAAAACAAGCATTCCACCATATCCTCCCTGCATTTATGCATGCTGGGGGCATATGAACTCCAGTCCTCACACTTGCAGGGCAAAGCGTTTGCCTGTTCAATCATGTCCTTAGCTCTATGTTGAACTTTTTGAAAGCACTGACTTGGGTTGAGTAACATAGGTAGGAATCCCTTTCCTGCAAGTTACTTCATGTTGTCATAGTTTGCTTATTTGTAACAAACAGCACTGTCTTGCTGTGAAAATTTAGTTCATACATCTAATATAGTATAATGTCTGAAACAAACACTATTTTCAGTTCATTTAAAAAAATTTAGGATATTCTGAGGCTTATTACTAGCTACTAGCTCATTTATATGGCTGACAAATGACTGAACTTCTTTAACTCTGAAACAAATAGCAAATCTCTGACACTAGCTTTAACAGCCCATGCAAATTTGTTTTTCACTTGAAACAATTCTACAGAAAGAAAACACTCACTCCTTGGTCAGAATTGTAAAACAACAGTGCACGTTAAGAAAGATACTTGACCATTTGAAATTCAAAGTTTCACCTTTTATGTCACAACAAACTAAGAATTACCTCAAGCACATGCATGAAATCTTTAAATATTCTTTTTCTTTCAGATTCTAGAGTTATGTCTTCAAATGCTGGTTCTTTTACAAATCTCTCCCGGATCTGAAAAGCAATGATATAGAATGAATATATGAACACCAAGAAAATCTTATTATGACGAAAAGGAATCTGACCTATAGGTAAAACTGTGATAAGCCCCAAAGTGCTTTATTTTTCTTCTTTCAAAAAATTCTAGCAGGAAATACTGATGCACACCTGGAGGCAGAGGCAAGTAGACCTCTGAGTTTGAGACCAGCCTGGCCTACACAGAGTTCCAAGGACAGCAAGGCTACACAGAGAAATCCTGCCCCCGGGTGGTGGTGGCTATTTTTTAATTATTAATTTTTTATTTTTTATTATTCTTAAATTCAAGTCACAGCTGACTTTTGACATATAGTATGGATTATGAATAATTTTAGTGTATTTATGTCCCCACGAAACAAGTTAGGGTTACTTTCAAGTGTGAAGCACAGTTCCTCTTATGGACAATTTACAAGTATACATACGTCTTCCCAGACAGCATCCAGCTCTATTGGAGGAGCAGCCTGTTTCAACATACTCTTAAATGCAGACTCTTTTCTTTTCATTTTTCGTGCTTCCTCTTTTTCTCTTTCACGTTCACGGGCTTCTGCCTTTTCTAGTAACTATCAAAAAATCATATTAAATTATGAGAATATAACTTATGAGAGCATTAAGTCCTGTTTCAAATAATTCAATGTTCTGAGAAGTAGTACCACATCATTTATAAATATTTTAATTTGACCAATAACAATAAAAGGTAAGACAGTCCATTATCTCTATACATTTTGTTTTCTTTACCTTATAAATCCTATTCACAGTACCTTATCCCACTAGCATACAACTTTAAGTAATTTTTAAATGAATAATAAGCTAATTATCTGTAATAATCAAACTTACACTATTGAAAGCCAACTTGATATTTCCAGCATCCAAAGTAGTTGATCTTTTTGTTGAACTTATTATTGCCACAAAATCTTCAAAAGTGGTGTTTACTTCAACTACAAATCCTTTATCCTATAAAACCAGAAATCTTGTTATAAATAACATGGAACTCCAAGAAATGAATCGATGTTTTCAAATAGTTAAGAACAAGTATCTTATTTACCTTCAGAATGTCTTTTATTATCTTTTTTTCGTCATGATAACGTGCTTTAAGATCTTCAACATAAAACTTGAAAAGATCAAGTGCAGTTGATCCTAATGAAAAAACTAAAGAAGTCAAAAAGCTAGCTCTAACCAAGAGCTGCAATTACTTTTTGTTTGTAAAACAAACATAAAATAAAGCACACACACCCCCTTCCAACCACTGCCCCCCACCCTCCAATCCATTCCAACTACTATCTTAGGTTTGAAAAGAAAAGAATCTCACCCGGCTGACCGAGCATATTAGTGAATCTAATGTCAGAACTAATAGTTGGATACAGTTCCATCCAAGAGGACATAGAATGCAGTTGTCCATGTTCATGTAGTTCATCTAAGAATATCTGTTGGAAAGGAAACAAATACATTTGAAAAATCATTTTAGAAATATAACATAGAAACATGTTAAAAAATGTTTGTTATCCAATATGTTTAGGTACAAAGAATATTTGCTATTTGATGGGAGTAAAAATGTTTTTACACCACAAACAAATATAAACAAATCATCCAAAGAAAGGGATCTTTCAAGCACTACAGTAAACTTCTATTCTTCCGTTGCGTGTCCCTAAGATAGAACACCATTTCCAGTTAAAAACAAAAAGTCCATAAAATACTGTGTACGTATGTAACTATAAATGAAAGGTTACTAAAATGACTGGAACTATCTATTCTCAAATGATGAGGCTAAAGAATGAGTATGCATTTCTTATAAAATAGTTTTTTTTTTAAATAGTAACCCTCAGATATTTCAAATTTGATCAATTTTTTTTTTTTAAAAACAAGTGTGGCGACTAAAGAGATGGTTCTGTGGTTAGGGGCAGTTGCAGCTCTTGAAGAGGACCCAGGTTCTGTTCTCAACACCCACATGATAATTCAAAGTCACCTCTCACTCCAGTTCCTGGGGATCTGGACATTAGGCAAGTACATGGTGAATACATACATGCAGGAAATATAAAATAAATCTAAAAATAGTCATAAAGAATATATTACTTTCCTCAAAGTATTTATACACCCATATAAGTGCTTAATTACATTACACATCTAAACTGTACTACAACATGTTCTTTTGGAACCATGTATCAACTGCTACAAAGCACTCATTACACATCTTATTTCCACTCGGTCCTCATGATATTTTACTCCGCTAAAACCTTATGCTTAAGTTAAATAATGTTTGCTGCAGCCTGCTATATTCCCTTGCCTCAAATATCCAACAACAAAATCTAAAATACAGAAGTTAAAGAGTTCAGCATATATTGTCCAAAACAAAGCCTATGCGGCCAACTGGAAACAAGTGCCTCAAAACTGTTTTGATCCTTGCTGAAGTTCAATGACTAAACTAGAAAAGGCATTTTTCTATTACCTGAAAAGATTCCCTATTTTTACGCTGCCGCCTCCTTTCTCTCAACAAAGTCTTCTGTTTTTCTTCTTCTTCTTCCTTTTCTAAAGCCCGGATGTGTTCCTCAAAGCATATTAGTGCATCTTCTTTATCCATGTCTGAAGTATTTTTCAGATAAAAAAGAAGTAAATTTAAAATATTAACAAAGAAAGCAGTTTAATCATTTGTATTAAACTCTTTACAAACTTCAAATTCAGTGTTCAAAAATACTTGTACTTGAATTCAAACAATATCTTGTAATGACACAAGTTTTGAGAAAGACTTCAAATACTACAGAGAACAAAGCAAAGAGCACATGCACATGACAAAATAATCTGACTAACAGAGCAAATGTTTTGCTTAATCCCAAAGAGATTCTTATTATATTTACATATAATTTTACATATAAAAATTTGTATTACTTCTCAGAGCTTTATGTGCATTTGATCATATTCACCCCCCCCCCTTCACAGATATATTCTCCACTTATCCAGCTACCTTTGTTGTCCCCATCTCCTTACACTTACTTAAACCCATCAACAACAGTTTCTTGGCTATATGGTCTTCTACTTGAGGGTGGTCAATTCATCAGGAGCTACATTCGAGAAACCTGACCCCTCTCCTGCAGCCATCAGTTGCTGAAGCTCTGTAACTCTCTTTCTAGTGTGGGATTTCAAGGCCAACTCCCAGCCCCAAGCTGGGCTTTGGCTTATAGGGTGTGACTGCTGTCACAGTCATTGCTGAGTTCCTAAGTGAAACTGCCTTACGTGTTTAGAAGACACCAGTGATCTACAAATAGTTGACAAATTTCAAGAATTATCTGTTAAAGGTGACTTAGATCTCTAGGAAAGCATTTTCCCTAAATCAAAATTCAACTAGAAACAACTCATTTGAAAATAAAGTAATTTTTCATAAATACAAATCATTTGTGTAAAATTGAGCTAGCGACCACAAAAAAGAGCAATTTTGATTTCATACAAACAGTGAGAATAATTCTGTGACTGAAGGGCAAGACTTGTCACTATTTTTCTTATGTAGTCATTGTTCTTACTCTGTAACTCTTCATCCTCTGCAAATGTTGGATTATCCATCAGATACTGCTGGGCTTCAGACCAAGTAGTAGAATACGTGACATTAGCCATGTTGTCAAGTATGTTTTTTAAGGCTTCCCAATTTCTCTTTCGTAACTGCTTTGCTTGTTCCTACAATAAAAGTTTGAATAATCCTTTTAACATTCAAACAAGGTATGTGAATTACAATTACTTAGGATTCCTTTATATTCTAGCTGATAAATGTCAACAAATGTTATGTGTCTACCGTTAGTATCAATACCTTTTATTTTGTTATTGTGCTTTCTGAATGTGTGGCAGTCCTTTCCTTCAGTTTTTCATCTCTTTGAAGTCAGAATCCAAAAAATTGTATTGTTTTTGTATCCTCATTTCATAAACCCATGTCCTTCCCAGACCAATATGCCGTACAGACACAATTTATAATGAGGGTGCTGTGTAGTCTCAACATGTAAATACCAAAGTCTTCACTGACATTCAACTATGTTTAATTTTTAGTAATACTTATCTATGTATCCTTCAATACTAGATGCAAAATAACTTAACAGAAATAAATGAATAAATCAGTACCCACGATGATTTAAACAGTAATTACTATGTTTGACATAAGGAGGAAAAAAAGATTCAAGAGTTACTCATTTTCTTTTAACATAGCTTCCAATGAATATATATGATGTACAACATACACTAAAGAAATTATGCAAAGAAACAAGTTATAACTTACTCATTTAAAAAAAAAGTCTTAGAATGTTGAAATATCGGTAATTAAAAAAGTACCTTTTCTTTTTTTGAAAGGAAGAACAAAACATCTTCATAGATTTCAAGACGATCACGCTCTGATATAGCATTCCAAACTTCCATCTCCCCAAACATTTGCTCGGCTTTTCTAGTGATTATGAAATCATGTGTTACTTTCTTAAACCATTCTTAAAACCAATTTTAGATTGTGATTTTTTTTCCCCCAAAGGCAGTCAATGATCACTCCCTCCACTGTTTAAGGTCACAAATGCATTACTCAGGAAATCTTTGTGACAGTCAATAAAATATTAACGTAAGAGCAAATGCCTCTACTTTCTCTTAGGACAGTAATGTTTTGCATTGTAAATAAATAGCCCTTTCCCCAAGTCACCTTCTGCAGACTACAGAACAGATAACAGTTACTGTAGTATGTTTATTTTTTATATTATTAATACCTTAGGTGAGTCTCTAAGTTACTGATTTTTTGGCTATCTTATATAACTGCCATATCCTCCTTTACACAACTGCTTTCATTACCATCTATTCTGGGTGAGTTATCAAGAAGTATGACAATCAATAGGGGAAAGAAACAATGCCTACATCATTAAAAATCTTACTTGTATCTGGTTGTGGAAGTCATTTTCTCATGATTTTCAAGAAAACGCTGAAAAGATTCCTTAGCTTCTTTGTATTTTGATCTTGCTTCTTCTTTTTCCTCTTTCTCCGTCTGGACTTTATAGGCATTAAAAGCCTGCTTTTTTTCACTCAGCTTTGCTAAAGCACTAAATAATAGAAAATACCATACACAAATAAACATAAAGACTTGGGAGAATCAAATGTTAGTGCTTTAGAAAAAAGTTTGATATGTGTATTAAGAAAACTTCTGTAAAAAAAACTGTAATTCATTGAAGATATAAAATTATTCTAAACAGCAAATTCTAGTGTTAAATGATTCTAATTTCATTTGGAGCAAGGTGCTCAAGTTGTAGGAAAAGCTTTCTGGATTTTTGGCTAATAGCATACATAAAATACCTCTGTTTATGCTATGACATAGCTATGAACAGCTGCTTATTATAAAGTCATACTGTTTTACAGAACTTTAAATGCCCTAAGATGAATGTAAGTTAATTTAAAAATCTCTGTATTACCTATACCGAGGATCATTAATGATCATTTTCATAGCTTGCTCCCACGAAGCATTAGAGGGTACCCGCTGAAAATTATTTAAAGAAAAAAATTAAAATTTTACACAACAGAGAGAATGGTATCACAGGAAAGCAAGTTCAACACTCACTGCAAATATCGAGCACCCCCCTTTGCAGATTTTTTATAGTCTAAAACCATTTAGAATGAAGCAAATTTGTGATATATACTTGTTTACTGAAAAAAAAATTCACACTGAAATTGAAACAGTATTTTTTTCAATTAGATCACCAACTAAAAGATAAGCAATAATTTAAATAAAAAAATCTTATCTATCAAGGCAAAAATATGATTGTGAAATAATACCTTGTTGAGTTTCCAAAAGCGTTCTTCAATAAAAACACAACAAATTTAGTTTGTTTTCAGTTACAACAGTTCAAGAAATTAGTATTTTAAATAAAGGCACCAAAGTGAGCATTTATTAGGAAATTATTACGTGTTACTTAAAAAGTCTCTAATACCTTTTCTTTCAATAATTCTTTAAATGCTTGCTTAGCCTCCTCCTTTGTATTCCAAGTGTATGTTTTTTTTGCTGGTTGGCTCTCTTCCTCTTCTTTTTTAGGAGTAAAACTAGAGAGAGAAATTTAAACATGATATTCATAATTTCAGTAACTATTTTATGCTTACAAAATCTAAAACTTGACAATTTTCAGAGAAAGTTTCTTATATAAACCCTGAAAACACATCTATCTGAAGACAGGCCATAAAGTTACAGATTTTCTGCAGTGTCAATTTTAAGACCCTGTATAAAGGTCAAACCATAACACGGAACTGCAGTTGACCTGTGTCACTAGGCTACAAATTAATTAATGACATATTTATTCAGATGTTTCATTAGTGCTCTAATAACCTGGTATTTTTGAATGTGTACATAAAAATCTAAAAAGGATGTACAGAACAATCTATGTGATCAATTAACAAAATCCAGCTTAGTTAATTTTGTAAACATAGTATTAATAGAATACAGCAATTAGCTAATTCCATATGTTCTTTTTGGCCGATTTTGTACTATAGCATGAGTATAAAGTCACTGTTTGTTTGAACCAGAAGACCTCAAATAAATATTATTTGACAAGTTGTGGAAAAGACTGCTAAATTCTGATTTCAAAAAGAATCAATATAATACAGATTTATCAACTACTTGTCTGGGGTCCACTGAATTGAAAAAATGTAGTTCAAAAGATGGAAATGATACTGCAATAGATACTGAGACAAGAATGTAGTATGTATATAATATATATCATTCTTTAAGTGTCCTTACATAGAACTTAATTAAAATTATTACAAAATTATAACTCATGAACTATGCTAGAATGCGTTTAAGGAAAAAAAAAACTTTTTAAAACTATGAAAAGTAAATTAACCTTTCACATTAATACAAGATTGAAAATAATCATATAAAACATATCTGTGATGAACACAGAAATCTATCATTATTTGTGAAGTGATTTGATTATGTAACATATATTGGATTATGCATTAAAATGAACTGAAATATATATGAGGATTTTCACAAATTACATGTAACTATCATACCAAGTTACATAAGGTATTTAGAGCATCTCAGTATTTTGGTGTTCAAAAAGTTCAAGCATAAATGTAGAATGATATTCCCAAAGCTTACATCATAAGATACCATCATTTGACCTTTATGGATCCAGAAAGTATCTCTGATACACACACACACACACACACACACACACACACACACACACACACACACACACACACACAATGCTTAACTATATGCACAGCCAACGTTAGAAAGAAAATGAGAAAAAAAGCTAAAAAAAAAAAAAAGAAAAAGAAAACGAGACCTTTACTCTTAATAAATTGCCTCCAAATGTACCATTTCAAACATCTCAATATTCAATCATTACACAGCTATTTGTGAAATTAACAAGACAGAAGGAGCACTAACAGTAAGGAGTAGAGAGACGGAGGCAGTAGACTAAATAGTAACTGGACAGGAGTGTTTGGGCAGATTTATTCGTCCATTTGTATCCATTTTTATGTATCTTGGCTCATACAGTAGAGAAAAAAAGTTTTGCAATTATTCTAAGTGAGTTTCTTTTTGTGGCTCCTCTATAAAGTGCCTTCTCTTTCTTATCTGAGGCATTTTTCAATAAAGCTGTTCGTATTTTTCAATTTATTTACAATAACCTGAAAACCAAACACATCAATGACCCAAAAGGAATGAAATCCAGTTTAATTCTCCTGTATTTGGTGGAGCTTCTTCTCACCTTCTCAGACTCCTCTGTGTTCAACAGACAGCGGTCTACAGTACTGTGGGCAGTGCTGCCTGAGCACATGAAACAGAGAAGGAACACAGACAGACCCCACTAACGAGTAAACCAACCAGGAGCCACACCGAACCTGTATTTAAAATACTGCAAGTATGTCAACTGCTGATGTTTTTTTCCTTTTTGCCTTGTTCACTGACTAAATTAACAAGTTCTTATAGTCAGGCACTGACTTTCAGAAGTGCTGTGGATATTGCTCTATATAAATAAAACACTGATGGCCAGTGACCAGGCAGGAAGTAGGTGGGACAAGGAGAGAGGAGAATTCTGGGAAGCGGAAGGCTGAGGAGGGAGACACTGCAGCCACTGCCAGGACAAGCAGCATGTAAAGACTCTGGTAAGCCACCAGCCACGTGGCAAGGTATAGATTTATAAAAATGGGTTAATTTAAGATAAAAGAACAGTTAACAAGAAGCCTGCCATGGCCATACAGTTTATAAGTGATATAAGTGTCTGAGTGATTATTTTATACGTGGATTGTGGGACTGCGGGGCTTGGGGAACCTGGAGAGAAGCTCTCCAGCAACACAGAAGTCTGAGTTACTAAACTTACTCGGTTACAGTTTCTTGTTTAGATGGTTCCTCTCCAGCGTTACTGGAAATGTCACCACTTAAATCTTGAATGGCTGTGGCATTAGCAATTTGTGCTTGTTCGTCATTGGATATAGTTACTGCATTTTCATTATCGACAACAGCAGGAACAATGGAAGTAACTTCAGGCTCAGGAGCAACTGGAACACTTCCCACAGTGTTAGTAGGTGTGGTGGAAGTATTGGCATTAGCAGCTGCTGCAGCGGCTGCAGCAGCAGCAACAACAGCAGCTGCTGCTTCTGCAGCAGCCATGGTGCTCATAGTGGTAGGAATTTCTGTTGTAGGAACTGGGGCTGTTGACGTTGTAGTACATTCTTCTTGCTTGCTATACAGTAAAAGGGAGGAAGAGGGAGGAAAAGAGGGAATAAGACGGATAAAAGTGGGGAGGGAGAGAGAGAGAGAACAGGTCATTTCAATACTTTACAGTAAAGCTAAATAAAGTCAATTTTAAAATAACACTAAAGGAACAATCAAAGGGCTAAACAAATCTATTGACAGTAAACTAGAAAATCACCCAAAAAGATCACAGAATGAGATATTAATTGTAGAGAATATCTTGCCATACTGCCTATGCTGAGCTCAGATTCACGGGACTCAGGCAATACTGTAGCCTTAGCCTCCTTGAGTAGAACTGGAATTACCATTATGTGTTATCGCTTCCAGCTTCTACCACTATTTGATTTAGCAAACTTGCACAATAACGTGAAATGAACACGGATATAAATGACTGTAATTTCCTAATGTCCAATTATTTCAAGAAAATCTCAATCTGTTACTTTGTATAACATCTTATTTGACATACAAAAATTTTCATAAGAATTTTAAATCTACATTTCAATAATTAAAGGAAAGCTTTGTAGGCTGGAGGTATATAGATCACTAGTTGAGTGCAAAAGGTGCAAAACCTTAGGTCTATTCCTCAAGACTACAAAAAGGGAATTTAGTATAATAGAGGATATATATAGTTATAATATTCTACTAATTCTCAAATGGAGAAAGTTATTAATTCATGAACTATGCATTTCATATTAAAGTACTTACTTGTCTAGCAAAGCATACACTTCAGTAAATATACTTGCTTTTAAATTCCACCCCCTTGTAAAAATCTTCCAAAGACATCAAATCATTAGCTTAACCCTGTTAAATAGTATTTTTTTAAAAAGTGAACAACTAAAACAAGAATGCTATGGAAATGGCCAAATTTATAAACCCTACTGAATTTTAAAATTGCTTACCTGCTTTCTTCAGCTTTGATCATAGCTATTAAAGAAAACAGAAAAGTCATCAACTAGTTTCTAAATATAACCACTGGGGGGAAAAAACTCTAAAAGGAGATGAAAGTACCATAATTTCATAAGATTTAATTTACCATCTGAAAAGCAATTTAAAACTCACTTTAAAGAGCAAGTGTTTGCCTTAGTTTCATCAAAGCCTCATTATAACAATGAAACATTTGACAACAGCAACTGTTTAGTAATCTTTTCCAATGCTGATGCTTCCAAAGGCTTGGCTTTGTAATCACTCTCTGAAAATATTCATAAGTTTGGAATACAACAGTATTGCCTCCAGGAATGAGACTATTTTTTAAAAGATAAAAATTTAAATTGGTATCAAACTCATGAAACTCCAGTCCATTTTTCATACTAGCACGGACAAGCAAATAAGCAGCTATGCAAACCAACAATTTGTAGTCATATCAGAAATGAGCTTGGCACTCTGTAAGTGAGCAATTTGGTATTCTATTGATAACATTATTATTAGTTCATGCTCAGACACTTTAGATAGAGCTTTAAAGATTTGAGCATTCAATATAGTCAAGATTTGTTTTCATTCAAGGCTCAGGTAAACTAAACTTACTGGTAAGACACATATCTTTAATTTCTTATCACTAGGGAATGAGGTGCTCCATGTGAGCAATGATATAAGCTTAAGTTTATGAACACATTTAAAAAACTTATCACTCATTAAAGGAAAATATTTCTGAAAATCTATTAAAATGCAAAAAAAACCCCTCACATAACCTTTTACTTAGCTAATCTAGAACAGTTTATGATAAAAGACTGTATTTTAAGGACAATAAAGTAACTCAATTCTTATTCAGTGTCTGCTATTTTATGCCCTGAGTATTATGCTAGATAACAATCTTTTCTAAATCTTCAAAGGTATCAAGTAACTGACAATATTGAAAACTATCTTCCTTAAATGAAATTTATTTACCTCAACTTTTAGATAAAAAACATATTAGTACTATTTTTCGTAACTAAAATGAAATCAGTATTAATACTGATAATATATGAAAAAAGTAACTACCATCATTAAGCTTAATCACATGTCCCATGTATGCACCAACATTCAGAAGAATGACTTTATATGTGAACTTGTTCGACATTCATGTTTATTTCAAATACCAAAGTACAACTTTAAAAATTGCAAGCTCATTTATAATATAACTCTTAAATAAAAGTGATTCTTTGAATTAATGTCTTTCACTGCAGACTTATCCATTTAAGGTTAGTGAAAATTACTGATATACTCTAAATGTTAAATATAACAGAAAATGAATTATCAAAGCAGCTCACCATGCAGGTTTGATTTTGTAATAAGACCTCCAGCAACAATGGTATTCTGGTATCCTAGTTTCAATGGAATCAAATCAAATAAAGTCTATTTAAAATCTATAGAACTGAGATCTAGAGCAACAACAAAATAAAAGAGCCCATAAAACTGTTATATCATTTAAAATGTGCAGACAATTTAATTTTTTTTTTTAAAAAAGAATAAGACCTTATTTGAATAGCCCTATTCAGGAAGGACTGTTTCCAGGTGACTGGCATATAGGCAACAACTTCCCAGTAGAGTTGTTTTCCCATCTTACCTTCAAGATCCTCAAGTTCCTTTGGTTTGGCCCAGCGGGACTCTTTCGTTTGAGAATTATAGTAATAAGGCTTCCCAGAATCAGATTTGTACTCTTTCCACGGGCATTTAGACAAGAGTTGCTAACGAAGGGGAAAAACGTTCAACAAATAATAACATTCAGCTTTGCTGACCATCCACACCCATTTTCATTAGATATTGTCTACCTGTGTAACTCTAAATATCAAAATTGTCAATTATTGACTATACCATTTAACCTTTATAATAACACTACAGAATTTAGAGTCTACATAAAGCTAATGTATAGGGGAGCAATTTAAAGTGCCTTTAAATCTCAGTACCTGTGTGAGCATGTGTGTGCCTATGAACAAGAAATAAAGAAGTGTTATCTATCAACCTTCCTTCCCAATCACTGTGTGCATATTAGATGACTTGAGGGGGAGTGAATGAAAAATACAGCTACTGTCTTAAAGTTCTTTACTTAAAAGAAGTTAAAAATGGAATACCACTGGCTAGGTAAAACTTACTGTTCTTCAGTGAAAAGATCACCTCTTCCTAAGCACATCAACATTTGCAATACTGCTTGCTTAATTTAGTGCTTCAACCTTAACTGTGTCATATTTTATCTATTTTGAATGGTGAAATGTATAATACAAAATAAATACCTTTTCAGAAGCATTTCTACAAAGAAAATATTCTACTCTAAGACAAGACAGTATTTTATAGGCAATTTAACTGCATTACATCAAACCCCATGGTTAATTGGAACTATTAATTGGAACTATTTTTAAAATCACACGTGTCATACTGCATTGAGGAAAATTGCTTTCCTCTTCAAATTTATTCTTTAAAACACATCTGAACATATGACGACAGTAAACCTAAAGTCTTTATTAACTCTTGTGACACGTAAGAACTGCTCTTTGGATAGCTTAATATAAAATTCTAAGGAATATACCCAAGCTACTTAACAGTCCTGATTCTTAGTCTTCAAATATTTACCTCAGCAGGTGTTTTAAGATCATCTGGTTTTTCCCAGGTAGACTGTTTTGTTTCAGTATTGTAATAATAAGTCCTTCCATCGGGTGATTTATGTTCTGTCCACATTGATTTCTAAAGGAAAAAAAAATTACTGATAGTGTAAACTATCCAACATACGAAACATCAAATTTAAGAATAAAATGATTGTATTTTCTTTTTCTTTGTTTTTTTTTAAAGGTATTTTTGAGACAGGGTTTCTCTATGTGTATCCCTGGCTGTCCTGGGACTCACTTTGTAGACCAGTCTGGCCTGGAACTCACAAAGATCTGCCTACCTCTGCCTCCTAAGTGCTAGGAGCATGCACCATCACAGCCCAGCTAAATGACTGTATCTGAATAGTTCAAATCACCTAAATTAACTTGTTAATGGAAGTAGAGAAGGAACTGGAAAACAAGGTAGCATGGATCAATTAAGGTTTTAGGACTGTTCTTAGAATCATTATACATATGACTGCTCTCAGAAGAATAGTAACATTGTATTGTTTGCATAAGACAACCTTCCATCAATATAAACCTACCCCAGTGGACAAAATATACAAACTACATATAGATATAACAGATATATAAAGGTGTATAAATCATGCATTTATCTAGTCTAATTAAAAAAACAAAACAGTATTTGGACAATTTTCTAAATTGATCCCTTATAAAGACCCAGTTCACAAAACTAGGAAAAGTAAAGATGGTTTATTACAAAAAACACCAGCAAGGGGGGAGGGGCTGAATCCAAGTATTTCAAAACAAAGAAAGTGAGATTTCCATGTGAAACTAAACATAAATCTACTCCTAATCATGGGCCCAACCAAACAACTCAATAGTCTTAATTTTTTTAAAAACAGACTACTTACTATACATATCACTAAGTCAAAATAAAATATAATTGGTATCACCTACTTGTTCAACACTAAGACTGTATTTTAAACTTACTGACAAATCTATTAAGACTGATTTTTATCTACATCACTTTTGTGCTTGCATAAAAAGAGAAACAAAGTTGTTATAATAGTCCTTAAATTTCCTCACAATAAAGTCACTTTTTAATTAGTTGCTCATATCCATTAGGTTATAGTATCATCCACTAGAGCATCAATAACATTGGTGACATTTCTTTAAAAATAAAACAAAACACAACATAAGCAAAGAGTGACCCTCATCATCTGTATATAATCATGGGATAGAGCACTGAGCCCAAGAACTGCCTATTTCTTAGCATTCAAAGACACAACCTATTGCTTGTGGTTTGCTGCTAAGTCCAGTGGCTTGATCAGTTTTTAGAGAAACTTCCTCTCACCCAAAAGTTTACTGCTGGGTAACATCTGACAGTACTCAGATCTACAGACAAAATGCCTAGTTATCTCTGTTCACCCTCTCAAATGAAGGAACAATGTTCCGATTGCTTGTTCCATTCAGAGGCAATTGGGGGGGTCATTGTCTCTAGCTAGTGGGATCCTGCCAGCCCACCAGCCTCAAAGCTCTTTGGGGATAGTGCCTGAATCCGAAATGGCAAGCTTTCAGAGTAAATGAAGCTGTGCCACTGAAAATGTACCCTTGATAGGTCTAGCCTTCAGACCACATACCTATCAAGGGTACAGTATCTATGGCGGTGAGAAATAAAAGACACCTTACCCCAGGAGTCCTCCCCTCCCCTCAGAACTGAAGATTCCAATGTTAATGGGCAAAAAAAAAAAAAGTATCTCTAATTTTTTGTGATTTCATTCTTCATTTTCTTTGGTAACCTACTTTTTAATCATGAGACACTGGCAGGGCACAAAATCTGCACAGGTTTAAATGTGAATACAAAGTACCACACCTAACCATGAATCTCTATGGAATTGATACCTGCTATAAATTGGAAAAAATCCTTTTCTTTTTCGATTTTTCGAGACAAGGTTTCTCTGTGTAAAATCTCTACCTGTCCTCGAACTTTCTTTGTACAGCAGGCTAGCCTTGAACTCAGAGTTCCACCTGCATCTGCCTCCTAAGTGCTGGGGTTAAAGGCACCAAGACAACTGATTAAAAATCTGTTTTCTTAAGTAGTGCATCACTAGGTACAACAATCACACTTTAGGGAAGTTTTGTTTTGGTATTTTTTTTATTAGTTTTGTTTGCCTTTTTTGTTATTATTGTTGTTTAAGAAAGAATATGAAGTTGGGTGGATATGGAAGTAGGATCAGAGGGGAAGTGGGAAAAGGGAACAAATATGATCAAAATATACTGTATGAAAATATTAGTATTAAATAAGAGGGGGCAAAGACAAATCTAATCAGAGATACATAGTAATAAATACAAAGAAACACAAAAATATAATGCAATGTGACAGCCTCCAATTTTTATGACTTTTTAATACCTGAATCCAATGACTGAAATGCTCAACAACAATACTAATTATTAAAATGCTCAATGTGCTGGCATAGCGCCTTTTACCTAATACCCCAAATGGAAATATTACAATAAATAATATTGAAATCCAGTGGAACATTAAGGAATATTGTGAAAATTAAATTCAAACTACCTTGAAAACCTGGAATAAATCGATATATTTTAGATGCATAAGACTTAGCATATTGGAACCAAAGACTATAACTAAGCTAAATATATCGATAAGAAAGCCTGTGACCAGATGGATTTCACTGCTGAATTCCACCAGGCCTTCAAAGAACCAATACCAATACTCCTAAAACTATTCCACAAAGAAATGTTTCCAAATTTATCTTACAAAGCCAGTATTGCTCCAATTCCAAAATCATATAAATATAAAACAAAAGAAAACAATACACGAATTTACCTTCAACATAGATGCAAAATGCTTAGATTCGAGACTTATAAGCCAATTAGACTGGTACAAAAGAAATGATGGTTTTTCCTTGGTTGAAATTTACCACTTTGATAATGAAATATATTCTTTCTTAAAAGCTTTATTTTGAACTTGCACACTGAAATCAACCAGGCCCTGAAGTTGTAGAGATGTACAATGGATTTTGTACTTTCAATACCAATTTTTTAAAGAAGATTATGTTACACTGTTTTGCCTGCAGATATCCTGAAGACCAGAAGATGGCACTAGATCTCATCATAGATGGTTGTGAGCTACCATGTGGTAGCTGGGAATAAAATTCAACTCTGGAAGAGCAGTCAGTGCTCTTAACCTCTGAGCCATCTCTCCAGCCCCTCTGCATCAATTTTTAAATGCATGTATTCACCACCAAAACCAAGTCAAAGTCAGAACTAAGAAAAATAATTTGGTTTTTACCCTCTTCCATAACTTGGGCCCATTAACTTGTATTCAGTTCTTCCTTATTCTTTAATAATATATGTGTAAATTATTGGCTAGGTTTATATGAGATAAAGAACATGTGGTTTTTATTCTAAGACTTTGTAATCTCATTCATTATTATACATTCAAAATCCACTTTTTTAAAAGCATTTTATGGTTTCAATTTTCTTTAGAGCTAAATGATACTTTATTTCATACATGTACAGGTTTTCATTATTCATTTATTTTTCTGCTAATGGGCAAGTAGGTTGGCTCCATTCCCTGCTACAGTGAGTAGAGCAGCAACAACACAGTGGTGCAGTTATCTTTATTGAAAGACATGGAGTTCTCTGGGGACATGGACATGAGTGAAACAGCTAGGCCATGACCGTCTATTTTATGTCTATGGGTGTTTTGTCTGTATTTAACTGTGTGCTATATGTGTGCCTTGTTCTCCCAGTGGCCAAAAATGGACATAGGAACACTTGGGATTGGGGAAACTGATGGTTGAAAACTGCCATGAGTGCTGGGAATCAAAGCTGGGTCCTCCAGGAGAATGTCTTACCTGCTCTAGCCCGTATTTTTTATTTTTGAGCAATCTTCAAACTGATCTTACTCAGTTGACTGAATCTGCACTGCCATCAACAGTCAAGTTCAACACACTCTCCGACACTGTCATTTATTAATGAGGGCCATTTCAACTGGGTGAAGTATGAATTTTTGTACTTTTTCCTTTTTTATCTTGAAATTATCACTGTGTTCTAATATTTATTTCTTTAGAGTTATTTTTAATGAGTATTTTTCCTAATTTCTTTCTTTCAAGAATACATTGCTGGTATATATGAAGGCTATTATTTTTAAACCAACTATTACAAGCAATGAGACTGAAGCTGTAGTTGGATTCGCTGCGTAATTCTACCAGACTATTACTGGAACCTGCAACTTTACTGCGTTTATTAGGTTCAAAAGTTTTCTAGTAGACTCTATGGGGTCTTTAAGTAAAGGGAATAAGGATAGTTGAATTCTTCCTTTCCTATTTTTAATCACCTTTATGTCTTTCTCTTGTCTAGTTGAAACAGCTAAGACCTGGAGCACTGTATCAAATAAGAAAGGGTCTTGTTCCTGACTTAAAGGAAATACTCAGTTTGTCTCCATTTAATATAACATTGCCTATTGGTTTGTTGAAACTTTACCAATGCCTTTTCTGTGTCAATTGTAATAATCATGTCTGTCTTTAAGTTTACTTACATGGTATATTACACTTTATGTAATGTGGAGCCAACCTTGCCTTTTGAGGATGAAGCTTCCTTGTTTATAATGTATGATCTTCTTAATGTGTTCTTGAATTTATTTTCCAAGTAACAGGCATTTCTGAATCTCTGTTCAAAGAACCTGTCTGTAGGGTTTTTTTTCATTCTTTTGTTTTTACCTGGTTTTGTTATTAAAATAATACAGACTTCATAGAATGAATTTCTATAGAGTGTTCCTTCTTCATTTTTTTACCTTACAGAACAAATTAAGAACAGGATGAGATCTTCCTAGCCAGTTTGAAAGAATACAGCAGTTAATCAGTCTGGTCCTACCTATGCTTTTCTTCAAGGGGAGACTTAATCACAGCTTCAATCTCATTGCTTGTAATGGGTTGGTTGAAATTAATTACACCTTTGGAATTTAATTTTAGTAGGTGATACAGATTTTGAAATTGTTCTGTTTCTTCCGAGTTATCCCATTTTTCAGAGTATATCTTCAATAGTGGTTGTTTTTAAAATTGTGCCCTCTTCCTCCTCCTCCTTTTTGTTGTTGTTTTGAGTCGGTCTCTC